TCATTTTTAAATAAAAACATTGGTTATCTTTGATGTGTCAGATTTTTACATTTTTAATTTTTCCTAAACTTTTTGCTATTTTCTAAGTTCTTCAGGCTGTATCTTCAGGCCAAGTTCTCAAATAATTACCATGACATATTTTCTGTTACATTTCGTTCTGCCAGTGTCAGAGCCCCAGGATGGGGTTGAGGCCAAGAAGGGTAGGGATGGGGGCTGAGGAAGACTTGATGCCAGCAGGGCCTGTGTTGCTTGCTCCCCTGCCGGGGCCAGACTGTGACTGGGCTGGATTCAAGACTGCGCTGAGCTGTGGTGGGCAGCTCTGAAATGCAGAGATGCCCTGGGCACACCCTGGGGTCTGGCCGCCTCAGAAATCGCAGCTATCCTGTAGGGGATAGATCATCTACATGCACGTACACGTGTGCACACGAACTCATTGAAAAGCAGGGGTTTGGACTTGTGCCTCCAGGATGAGAGTGATTCTGCTTCAAGCATATGTGTGTGTCTGTGTGGCAGAGGTTGGGGTTTTGGGGTGGTTTTCCACGCGGGATTTAAAGATATTCACAAGGGAATGCAGTATGACAACAGCTAAGTGTTGAGGAGTATCTTTCCTAACATAGCAAGTATTTGCTTGTAAACTTGAGGAAGCATTCACTGCGTGACAAGATGCTTAAAAGAAAATGGACAGGGTTGGGGCACTTGGGTGGGTCCTGGGTCCAGGGTCCTGGGATTGAGCCCTGCATCGGGGGCTCTGATCTCAGCGGGGAGTCTACTTCTCCCTCTGCCTGCCGCTTCCCACCCCCGCCCCCAACTCATGCTCTCTGTCTCATAAAGAAATAAAATCTTTAGAAAAAAAAAAGAAAGAAAACGGATAGGGTTAATGTTTACGCTGTGATTAACTCTTTGTAAGCATTTCTTTTGTTTAGTAATGTTGTGGGGGCAGAGAGTAACAGCAGGATATGTTTTAAGATTGTATTTATTTATTTGAGAGAAAGAGAGGGAGCAGAGTGGCGGGGAAGGACAAGAGGCAGAGGGAGAAGCAGGTTTCCCCGCTGAGCAGGGAGCCAGGATGGGACTGGATGCCAGGACCCCGAGATCATGACCTGAGCCAAAGGCAGAGGCTTAACTGACTGAGTCACCCAGGCGCCCCACAACAGGGTTGTTGTTTTTTTTTTAAATATGTACTTGTAATTGAATGCTAACACTTTACAAAAGCATATTGTGAGAAAATGGGATACTCTTTTTCATGAAAGCTTCCTTTTTAAAAATTTCATATTCAGTAAAGACTAATTAAAAGGTATTTGAAGAAGAATCTTCTTTTTTTTTCATACTTTTCTTCTCTGGCTGTGGGCTAGCATGACATAATCCCCAGAGCCTTTTTGCTATCGAGACACAGAAAAATCCAATGAAAGAAGCATGGGGCTTCAGAGTCTAACAGTTTGAAGTTCAAATCCCAGATCTACTACTAGCTATGTGATCCTGGGCAGGTTATTTAACCTAATCTTCAGCTTTTTTGTGGGTTTTTTTTTCTGAAAAGATGGGATAGCACCACCTCCCCACACAGCTTCATTAACTGCAGCACCTCACACAGTGTCTGGCAATTAGTAAGTGTTCAGCAAACGTTAGTTCTCTTACCTCCCCTGAGTAGGAGGGAAAAAAGACTTGGCGCAAACAGTCTACTTTCTCTTATATGTTAATTTTCCTGCGACCGCAGTACATGACAGAGTGATGATGTGGGGATGCCGTCCCTCATCTCTCCAAATCTCTTATACTATACCCCAGGTGTGTTTCCCTATGTACACAATGTAGCTACTCTGCCTTTCCAGCAATGATTCTGAGAAGTTGTATCACCCACTTAGATGCTATATCCTCTCATTTGTGAACTGATCATCCATACCCAGGCAAGCACCAGAACAGTTTGGTTTGTTTTGAGGATGTCGCTACTAGGCACCTTTCCCAGAAGAGGTGGTGAGAAACTTGTGGGAAAAGTCTTTACAAGTTACTACTTCAGTTGTCTTTATTTTTAAAAGAAAAATCTTGAGGATATGGTAATGAGACCACCGCCAGATCCCATATGACAGTCTTACCTAAAGAATTTACATTCACAGGATAAATGTAGGGGATGAAGCCAGTGATAAGGAACTCTTAGAGCAACTGACCTATTTCCCCCAAGTTCCACAAACTGTGTTATTCCTGAGGAAGGAGCCAGTTCAGATGAGGGCCTACTATGCACGGACTAGATGTTATAGGAGAAATTTTTGACTTTGAAAAGTGTTCAGCATGCTAAGCTTTTGGGTATTGGAGCAGGGAGGAGGATACAAGCAACCCCCTATGACCAACACACAGCTAATGTATACAACCAGAGAGCAAGGGGTTAGGCCTTGATGATCATCTACATTTCATTCCTCCAAGGTCAGGGGCACCTGGGTGGCTCAGTCGGTTAAGTGTCTGCCTTCGGCTCAGGTCATGATCCCAGGGCCCTGGGATCCAGCCCTGCATCAGGCTCCCTGCTCAGCAGGAAGTCTGCTTCTCCCTCTCCCTCTGCTCCTTCTCTCTCTCTCTCAAATAAATAAATAAAATCTTAAAAAAAATAATTCCTCCAAGGTCAGCATAATCTAAGAGCGGAACGCCAAGAGCAAGCCTTTGGGGGAAGCCACACTTGAAAAGTAGGAGGAAATTAAAACAGTAAATTAAACTAGAAAGAGCAGTAAAAGGGAAAGAAAGCAGGATATCACAAGGTCAAAACAAAAAACAAAACAAGAATCTTCAGTGGCATCGAAAGTAACAATGAATTCAAAAAAGAGAAGCAGCAAAAAGTGATTTGACCAGGAGGAAGTTAGCTGCGGTTTCTGAGGTTAAGTGGTTTCTGACTGAGCAGGTGGTTTCTATTATATAAACGATGGTTTATATGGAATGAGCTATTTAGATCAACAGCTTATTTCTCACAGAACATTAAAGAGCCATTATAGTTAGATTCACTCACTCATTCATTTATTTCATTAGCATTTGCTGTGCTTTTACAGTGCCTAATTCTGCTAAGCTCCGTGGGGTAAGGGGACCTAATAGAAAAGCCATAATTAAATCATAATGGCTTCTCTCTCACAAGGAATCTGGGTGAAGTTTTAGACCTATGACTTCAAAATGAGAGTCTCATTTCCCAGTAACTGTTTCATTGTATGTATTCTTTTCTGATATATTAGCCTTCTGTTTCCGTTTTTGAATTAAAAAGGTTTGGTTTGCCACATCACAGGCCAAGTGTCAACGTCGGACAGCAAGCTTAAAGAAAACCGAAATCTCAATGTATCTTATGTATGCAGTGAGGAAAGGCAGGAATGGTATTTATAGGTTGTGTTAGGCTTTCCATTTTTTTTTTCTTTTTTTCTTTTTTTTTTTTACAAATACAAAAGCCCACACAGAATAGTCCAAAGGAACCAAAGTTTCCACAGTTTCACAAAAAAAGCATCCATTGCTTTGCCTCTCATAATTTAATCAGTTTGGTTGGCCGCATCACTGGCAAATACCAACTTGGATTCTCACAGGAGGTTAAAAACATCAAGTCTCAAAGACCCCTGTGTGAGCTCTGAGGGAACACAGAAATGGCATTTATACCTTGTATTAGGTATTTGTTTCCATAAAAGTTTGATGCCTACCACATAACCCCCCACACACACACACACAGGAATAGGCCAAAGCTGCCAAGCTTTCCACACGTTCAGAAAATATACCTGTGGAGTCTGCTTCTCAAGGTGGAGTTCAGAGCCTCTTTGCAGCAAGTAACATGGTGCCTGGAAGTGAGACAACCCACAGGATGCCTTTGGCACATCGAAGGTGGAGGTGAATTTTACAGTCCAGTGTGCACATGCACACATTAGCTATGAGGGACTTTTGTAACTGGCCAGCCAAAATAACGAACCTTAAAAATAAATATGCCAACCCACCCACAGCGTGATGTGTGGTGTTTTTTTCTTCCTACATTCCATATTTTCTGGGTTTTTTTTTCCTTTTAACAATGGGAAAAATTGGGGCGCCTGGGTGGCTCAGTGGGTTAAGCATCTGCCTTCGGCTCAGGTCATGATCCCAGGACCCTGGAATTGAGCCCCGCATCGAGCTGCCTGCTCAGCAGGGAGTCTGCTTCTCCCTCTCCCCCTGCTCGTGCTCTCTCTCTCACTCTCTCTCAAATAAATAAAAATAAAATCTAAAAAAAAAAGAGAAACTTTTAATTTAAAAAAAAAAAACCTACTTAATGACAACTTTATCAGGCTCTACCAGGCCATCCTAGTGAAATGTACCTACTTAACACTGCTTGGATTATCCTTTAGAATCTTCATCCCTTAAAAAAGAAAAAAAAACCACAAAAGCCAAAAACTGATCAAGATACTAGGAAAACCACCATAGACCAACTATCCTACCACTCTACCACAAGAATCACACCGGGCCAATAGAATAAAAGAGAATATTCCTTCTGCAGTAACCAAAGGCACAAAAATATACACATGTAACCACAAAAAAAGACGAAAAACAACCAGAAGAAAGTCCCCACGCTATAACGCCAAGTAAAAAAACCATACAAAAAGAAGAAAGAACTGTGCGGATAAGAGGCAAAGAAGAGGAAACAGAGACAAAGAGAGCGCGAAAGAAAACAAAAACAAAGGAAAAAACACACCCAGACCAACACAAAGGTTAACCACTCAGTGCCGAACCAAACAAAAGGCACAAGCCAAAGACCCCCCCATCAAAACCCGAAACGAAAACAAAAAAATAAAAAAAGGACCAACCCAAGAACAACGATAAACATATGCAAAAACATAATATGGAATGAAAACAAAGAACACGGAAGAAGGGGGAGAAACAAAGACAGAGGAAAAAAAGAAACCAAGCCAAGAACACAGCCTGACACAGCCCACCAAAAAAGGAACCTGCAAGCACAAACGGAGCCAAAAGCAGACCCAGAACAAAACAACCAACCCAGCAGACCCTAGAAAAGACAAACACGATGATTTTAAAGGAAAACAACATTTATTGTGTGAAAGATTTATATTTAATCAAAGGCACAAACCAAAACTAAGATTATTATAGTTGACCATGATATTGACAATTAAGTCACATCAACCTGATAAAGAAATAGCAGCTAACACTAATGAAGATGAATTGCTTTCAATTCCTAAGGAAAATACAGTAATTCCAACACCATTAAGTAATAATTAGAACCTTTCAAATATAAATTTGAGAGCAAAACAGAGACTAATGAAAATATCTTAACTTGATGCAAATTATACAATAATTTTAACTCGTCTGGGAAGAGGCCAGTTCGGAAGGGTCAATTTTCTATCACACTACATCAGTCAGCAAATTCAGAGCGCTCACTTTGTAACACTACATCAAAATAGCAGATTCACAATGCAATTTTGAAAAATAAAAGTCAAGAGGAACACGGTATTGCATCATTTACAATTTACTAGCTTTTCCAGTGTTTCACAGTGATACAGGGGTTTCAGTGATCTACCATCAATGGGACAAAAGGTGGACTTAACCTGAACATGTCTTGATTGAATCAGACTACTGATGTAAGTTTTTGGTCTATTGTAAGCGGTAGTAGGAAGTCTTCCAACCAGGCAATTTCATAGCTCACAGGGGGAATGTAAATGTCCTTAAACTTGAAGAGGAATAGGCCCGTGGTTTGTTGTTTACACTATCTCATACTGGTTATTTGTTATGGCGCGAGAGAGACAGTAGGCTAGAAAGATTCCAATCAGCTAGAAATAAAATACAAACAAAAATTAAACACACACACACACACACACACACACACACAAAAGAGCTTAAAGTACTCAGGATACAGGTTTATTTTCCTTTCCCTTCGAATTCACTAATAATTTCCTTAAGTTTCTCTCGGCAGTTATGTTTGATACTCTGCAGCTCCTGGATCACATTCAAAGAACATAAGGGAAGTTCTACTGCTACTATGACCGGGAGTTTCACAACTGTCACTGACAAAATTATCACTCACGAAAAATTCTAAATGTCGTTAAGTTTGGGGGAAACTTATCAGTTAACCTGTCAGCTATCAGAACAAAAAGGACATGGCTTAGACTATGCATCTCATCACGTACAATCTCCATCTATGAAGACAGAGATTTTCTTGGAAGCTCTAGGACAGTGCTGCAATGATGGATTTGTTCTGTACTCCCCAGGCTGTCCAGTAAGCTAGCCACTAGCCACATGTGGCTTTTGAGCACTTCAAATGCGGCTTGAATTTTTTATTTTATTTAATAATTAGAACCTTCCGAAGGTGCTAGTGGCCATTTTATTAGACAGTGCAGACTCAGACATAGCTAGGCCTGCTGCTTGAGAAATATGTTAAGATTAGACTTCCAAAACCAATTGCATAGGTCAAAATGAAGTATGTCCCTTCTTTTAGTTTTATCGCCACGATGTTCGATATAGGACAAACCCCCATTACCTAAGAAAAATTGTTTAGAGCCACAGTTCAAACTTTTCATGCTACGGTGAGAGGCAGCACAACTCAGAAAATAGAATTTGACCCACAACGTAGCACGTCCCCAACATGACAGGCACATATTGAATGTGGGGTCGTATGATCTAAGTTTTTGTAGGTCAGAACTTATATGGATCTCACCAGGCAGCTGCAGCCCAGGAAAGAAAAAATCTGGACAATGTTTTAGAATCTTGACTGCACAGTAAAACAAGGTTCCCATCTATGTCATGTTTTAATTAATGAACTAGGATGCTGGAGAGTTGCCGTACCCTAGGGCACCAGGTTTGTACTACTACGAGTTAATTCTAAGCCTTGCTTTCTGTAGTTTCAAGGCATGCTAGGCCATGGTAGAAAAAGAGCAGGTAAACAGGGAATAAAAATCTGGAGAAGTCTAATTGTGAAAACAGTGTGGGAAAACATAAGATCCAAGACATCAAAGAATTGGAATGAAAATAGCGGAACATCCCCTCCCAAATAAAACAAAGCTAAATAGACCCAACACAAATGACTGACTACATATGTTTCACATACAAAATAAAAACAGCCGGGAGTTTGTGAAAATGTGACTTCTCTGGAAATGCCCTGAGGCCTTCAGATTGGAAATCTTCTAGCTTACCACTGAACAAGAGCGAGGAGACATTCCTAACAATAAGGACTTACCTGGAAGCAAGCAACTCCAAAAGAAATTCCGGCAACCACTCCCATTTCTGACTCTATAATGGTCATCACCTTTATAAAACAACCCTAATGGGAGAGGAAAAACAATTTTAAGTACAGCACAAGCAATAATGAACACTTGGATCATCCATCTCTGCCAAAAGATGAGCTTTAGCTACCTCAGCCTCTGATTATCATTTTATTCAAATTCACTCTTTCATATAACATATCCTATCTCCTTTCAAGCACAATGCTCTAACAGGAGTTTGAAGAACAGAAGTTCCACCTTTTAGATTATGCATTTAAAAGTGTTATTTGCTAGTTGTGTGAACTCAAGTCACAAACTGTCTGAGCTTCAATTTCTTCATGCATTCAATGAGAATAATACCTGCCCCGCCTATTTTAGATTATAGCTATTGTGAGGAAAAATTAAAAACTGAGTCAACTCTGTATTCAGTTAATATTTTCAAATAAAAAAAATTTAAAGGCTCCTTACTTCATTGTTTACTTTATCTGCATCTCTCTGTGGAGAACAATTTTCAAGTTTGCAGCAACTCTTGGGAAATCCTTTTTCTGAGTAATAATTAGTA